ATAAACCCTTGATTTGACAATGTTAACAAATGGACAAAAATATGGGCCTCTGCTAGATTTTATAAAGGTACACACTTAAGACATAGAAAATGAGATGTATGCAAGTATCCTGAGAAGAGGTAAATGCATGGACATATAGCACAATATATAAAGGCAAGAATGCATTTTTCCACCTCTAGACTGATGCACAAACTGACGTAGCTGGACTCTTGTCTGGCAGACTGAAATATCTATGAAAGAAGTGACTCCTAAATTAAGGTTGCTTGACAATTTCCAGTATACAGTTCTATTTTCAGCTGGTAATAATTTTCACCAAACATTAAACACTTGGGCAAAGTTTTCCATGCTGGAGGTCTGCATCAAGAAGGATGATGATGTCCACAAATGCCTAACCATTTCTAGCTGAACTATTTTAGAAAACAAGGCTCAGGGGCTGTATATAAATTTGCACATTTAAAATAAGAAGTCCATTTACATTCTAAAAGATTTTCCTGCTACAAAACTTTGAGGTTGCCACTTGAAATTAGGCAGTGTTTCCACCTCGGTGCCGTGCCCCTTGATGCTCCTGCGAGGTGCAGTTGTTGTCTGGGTGTCTCCCAAGGAAGACGTTCACGCTCAGGCTCCGTTCCTTGGGCACACTGGCTTCTTGTCCACACAGAGCCTTCCTGAAGGCAGGACAGATGAGCAAGGCCTGCTCCCTCCCCGCCTCTCCTGTGTGCCGGGGGAGCCGTGGCACAGAGCACAACAAGATCATCTCGCTTGTGTTCTTYGTGCTTCCCCAGCTGCCCAAGCAGCACGGAGGTGACAGAGGCCACAAGCTGTTTTCGGCGGTGACACCGGCGTAAGGAGGCCTCAGCGGCCTTCCCGTCGCCTCCGGCAGCCTGCCAGCCCCGCTGCTTGCGCGACCGCCCTGCGAATCACAGGGGCAGAACYGGGGCGCTCTCCCTCTCGGGGCGAGCTCAAGGCCACGGTGCCGGCAGCRCCGTCCCGGGCAGCGGCGAGGCGCCGCTAGCGGCGAGCAGGGCCTGGCACGGGTGAAGCGCCRCCTCTGCCGCCTTGCCGGGAGCCACTCGGTCACCTGCTGAAAACCCGGCAGGGATGCGAGGAGCAGGGCGGTGAGGGGACAGCGCCGTGAGGGAGAAGAGGGAGAGGCGCAGACGGCAGCAGGGAGGAGGGAAGCACAACAGGACTGCAGGGAGCAAGGAGAAAAGTGGTAGAGAAAGCAGAGAAGCAAGTACTGACTGAGAGCAAATACCACCTTACCCAAAATACCTGGAGCACAGATGAGTATCTGAGCTTCAAACCTGCCAGAAATTAAGTACAAAACCTCTGACAGAGTGTCCTTTTCCATGCATCCCCTCCACACAATCCCAGAACAGACTACCAGCAGTTTCTCTTTCAGCCTTCTGACATAGAAATATTTTATTTGGCTTTCTATTTCGCAGCCTTCCTTTCCTTGTATATAGCCTGGTCACCTTTTAGAGAGGTGCCAWGGTTTATTTTTGCAGTTACAAGTGCAGTCTCTGGACCCTGTCAAACTAGACACAGAAATCCCTCAGAGCTGAGCAGAATACAAAGGCAGACAGTAACCTGCATAACCTGGGCAAGCTCTGGGTATTTCAGCTCGTCCAAGAAAATCCAGATTTAAGAGGCATAGATTGCTGTTCTGCAGTCACCTCTTTTTCTAAAGCACGGAGCTGCAGTGCAAGTCTCAGCAGATGGCCTCCACAATAACATCAGATGCAAATAGCATCTATGGAATACAACAGTGCCCTGTAAATTGGGCGTGTGAGCTCTCCCTCCACRTCACCTCAACCCAAGCAAGGGTGTTCAGTTCCCAAATAATAACCCTCCAATTCGTGTTGAAGATGAGAGATGGTTAGGCCACGAATAACCATTCAGAATGACCTTTACCAGCGAGAGGCTGGAATTGGACTGCAGGCAGTTTCCACCAGCATATCAGAAATCCACTCAAATAAGAACAGCCCGAATAGTAAATGGCAGAAGGCTGGAAGGCAAAGGTCAGACTTCTCCTCCTATAATCTCCTACATCTACCAGAAATCCTTTTACCAGGGAGATGTGGTGAGGAGGGTAACAATGAGACCCAGAACAGCCTCACACTGAAAATCAGGCACATGAGAAGCTGTTGAATTTCTCTGCCAAGTAATAGTCGTGCATTAGAGCTGAAAAAAAATAAAAAATATGCTCTCAGACAAATATGTCATTTGAGAGACTCAGGCCATAAATATGCTCCACTGCAAGATGACAATACAGACAGGAACTTGTTTTCTTCGGCCGGTGATTCAGATTTCCAAGAAAAAGCAAGGTTTACAAGGGAATATTGCCAATCAGGTCATACTCTTTCCCACCACTTCAAATGATCTTTAGAAGCTATTGAGCAATTTTAACCACAACTGATGGAGAGAGGATCTTCAAAATGGCTTGTTTAAAGTTTTGTAAAAACAGCCCCTGGATAGGAGAGAAATTATAAATAGTGCCCCAAGGAAAAAAAAAAAAGTTTCAAATATTTCACCTTTTAAGCATCAGGGAATCCATAAAAGCCTCTCAAGATCCAGAGGAAACCAGGCTGTTTTGGCTCTGCTGATGAATCTTTTGTTTTGCTCAAGTGAGGAAATGCAATACAGTATTTCTTAGTTTTGTAAACTACTATTGCAAACTCATTGCTGAGATTTCTTTTAAAGGAGGTTAATTAATCAGCTGGCCTTTCCCAGGGTCAATTCTTTAATTTCCCCACTCACCCTCTTCCTTATACCCAGCAACTGTGTCCTGAGCTGCAGTGTCATCAGCTCCTCCTATCTGTTCCTTGGTGATCTGCTGGCTTTATTTCCTACAGCTCTAGCAGAAAGCTGAAGAGACAGGTTTGCCCTGTAAGAACAAGCCTGTGACAGATGACCATAGTTGTTGGAACGAGATCATGGGAATTCTGCAAACAGTTCATCAGAATCAAGGACAGCAAGGGGGGTGTCAAAAAAAAATATATAAATCAGTAAAGCAGAGAATAACCAGTTCTAAGGGAATGATAAGGAAACCACAATCCACGAAAGAATGTGATGAGTCGACACTACAAAGACACATTCAACTTAAGATGACCTATAGCTCATTAAAGCTTATTAACATATAAACTCATCGTCATCTCATTATTCAGTTAGGGGAGAATAATATGATAATAAGGTTACTAGCACCATAATTAGACACTAAAGTGCAAGCACAAAACCGATACATTGCACAACCAGAATGTAACCAAAAAAAGATGTGTGTGAAATAGTCCCAGAAATTGTTGGAATAAATGCAGAACAGGGGGTAAGAGAAGTGGTGCTAACTTGGTGTAGTCACCACCCAGCACCCACCTCTGCCCAGAAATAAAACAAATATCTCGACTGCATCTTTCAGCTCTTTGTGCATCAGTTTAAGAACCCAGTTCAGGACAATAACCACAGCTACACAGTAACTTCAGTAGGACATCTCAGCACGGGATAAAGTTRTCTTTAAAGAGATACTAGGGGCAAAAACAATAAGTCCAAGCTGAAGTTCAACAGCACAATTCATCTAATTCATTACATTCATCTAATACCATATGCTGCCCCCTCCTGCCCCCTCACTGCCCCCTCCTTTGCCCCAGAGAGCCCAGACAGACTATCACATCCCACACCCAGGTTCATGTCGTTGGCACGTTTTGCTGTGCCAGCCAGTCCTTGTTTGGGAATCCAAGGCTATTGCTCTACTAGACAATAATATCAAAAGCCAAATAGCAATTTCTGCTCCGTTCATTAGCTGTGCTGTAACTAACTGTCTTGCCCATACAGATAAGTTATCTGTACTCACCCACAGTGTCTCAGGGAGGAGCAGTCAAAATTCGAGAGGTTGAACTCTCCCACAGAACTATTCAAGGTAACAGGGAAGGGAAGAGCACATAACCTAAAAAAAGCAACCCAAAGTCTACTCAAATGCATTCTAAAGCTGCTGTGGACTTTCTCCAGGCTGACAGTGAGGAAGAACTTCTTTACTGTGAGAGTGACAGAGCCCTGGGACAGGCTGTACAAGGAGGTTGTGGAGTCTCCTTCCCTGAAGATCTTCCAAACCCGCCTGGCTGCCGCCCTGTGTCCCATGCTCTGGGTGCCCCTGCTGGAGCAGGGGGCTTGGACTAGATGATCTCTAGAGGTCCCTTCCAACCTCAATCAGTCTGTGATTCCGTGATAGCTTTTCAGTGAATTCACATTAGAAGTGTTCTTTATATCACAGGCTTCAGAGATGTTCATCTCCAACATCTCACAGCCCAAAGTTCTACCAAAATGAAGAGGTCAATGCAAATCTGAATAATAATCTGCATAATATCTGAATATTACAAACCAGTATTACAGCAATATAGCAATATGCTGATACTTCAAGCTCTTCTTGAAGAGGTTGATAAGATATCAGTGCAGAGGGCTTCTCCCTAACAGACTTCTCTTGTGCGTACACGCAAAGAGGAGCTGTCAGAGTTCCAGAAATACTAATTCTCAGCCCCCAAGCCATTTGAGAAGCTAAAATTTCACATTTCTTGCAGAAGCTGAACTTTTGTTTACTTTGCTGTTTTTGTAAAGACAGAGAAAGAAGTTTGGCACCTAGCATTCCATTAAGTGAGCATTTTCCTCTCTATTTTCCTGTTTAGGAGGGGTAAAGTGCCCTAGTGTTACACATGAAGTTGTACTTAGCATCTTCCAAAAACAGCACTACACTTTTTGACCCTTTAGCCACCTATTCAAAGAGAACATCCACAGCTCCCCACTGTACTGTAGAAACTCAATTATTTAATCACTTGAGAGAAAGGGACAGGTTATGTCAGCCAGTTGGCAGGCTCCGTGCGAACAAAATAACTGAAAAAGAACAGCAGATACCAATCCAGGACAAAACATACTTTATTGTATTGTAATGTCAGAAGTACAAGAAGAGTACTGCAGAGGACCATGCTAATGGGACTTCTGGCGTTTGGGAAGGACAGAAGTACAAGAAAATGGGGTTCTACCGTACCCAGTGCAAGAACTGATTCATTTGAGGCACAAGAACACTATTGTTTAAGCAGCTTGATTCAAGCACAGCTCTGGTATGTGATCTACTTTGTTTCCTTTCTATGTGGCAAATCTATAGTAAAGCTACTTTTACATTAAATAGGCATTAGATTCAAGTCAGGGGTGTCCAAATCGCTACTAGGCGAMCAAAAATAATTAAGAAATAAACAAAGAAACACCTCTGCACAGTCACCCTCCACATTCTAAGTTTTCATTATGGAGCTGTGGCTAATGAAGAAAAGTCATTCTGAAAGGTCAGAGCCCAGATCATTTTGTTTCTCTCTTATGTGTCTCTCAGTAACTTGTTTTATGTTAACCATAATTTATCTAAAGAAGAAAAAAAATGCATATCTTTAATACAGACTCATACATAGCTAACATTCAAAATAATTGAAGCCCTTGAGATCTTAACTTATGGCTTAAGACACAATGAAATAAGTGTTTGGGCACCCTTGAGTTAAGTTAATGAAGAACATTTCTGCTAAAAGGCAAGCAAGATCACTATTTTAAACAGAGCTGACCTCTACAMGAAGGAAGCAGGAATCCAAGTCACTGGTTACAACTAGGCTTACATGTGCTGCTGCCCAGAAAGATAAAATTGTAATATCACAATGAAAAGGTTCAACAAGGTTGAACGAGATAAGTTTCAACACCAGAAGCAGCATTTGAAAACAAGCTGTTTAAGTTAATCTTTTCAAGAGATGCAGATTGCATACTGGATGCATGAGCAAACATGCTGGCAATCTTCTCCTTTTACACAGCAGCTGTGTTTAGCATAGGAAGTTCTGGGTTTAAAGAAAGCTCCTTGAAGAAGAATTAAGATTTGCATTTGCCTTGTCTACTTAATGAGATTAGTAGAGATGAAAAAAGAAAAAAAATACTACTAAAACAGTAGTTTCTCGGTGGATCCCTATTATTACAAACACAGCTTCTGATTCGTAAACAACCCAAGACTAAACAGACAACTATTATTTTATATTATTACTATGCTTATAAGTTACATCAGTTAAAAGAAAAAACAGCCAAGCAGTTTTGCCCTATTTCAAAAATAGTTTCCAATCAACACCAGTTTACATGGTGAATGGGACTTCACAAATAAATGAGGAATGGTGACATCTTTGGGTCAAGAACGACAAGAAGTAATGGGCTCTGTGCTACCAATCAACCTCAACAAGAATATGGCACAAGGGCCAGCCCAAGCTGTACCAACACTGAACCTTTAGCACTCGGCACAAATTCGGATCTCTTCACTTAAGCTATCAAATCAGGTGAAAAGATTGGGTAAAAGAAAAAAAATTAAGCCAAAAATTGGAAGGTACTTTTAAAAAACCATCTGTAGTTTTAAAATAACTTTATACTGACATCAGTTTGTGCAAACTAAAAAAAACACCATTGATTTCTAACAAAAGAAACCTCCCCAATATTTTCCTTTTAGCCCATCGTATCTGCAGATACAATCTCAGATCTAACAGATGCAAATGCAAGACAGAAAGTTACAGCATCTGCACAACATTCTTTCTACAAACAGCTGCTGGAAGAAAATTAAAATACAAAAGGAATAAAGAAAGGAAGGTTCCATCTGATATTCTCTCACAATCTTTCCCCCTCTGTAGTCCATGAATCCGACTCTGATGCTAAGGTGACAGTGTATGTAAGTAGAATTTTTTGTTGATTTTTATTATTTTTGAGTTTCAAATGAAGAAAACCTGCCAAGAGACTCGAGTCCCTTCAGGAATTGTCGGACGGAACATGCTCCTCGAAGCCTTCGCTCTCTCGGACCAAAGCTCTTTCCAGGATAACGCGGCCCTCCTTGTAGCGCTGGCTGTCTTCCGTGGCAAACTCATAGATCCAGCCCAGTTTGCTGTTGCAGTTCTTGCAGCTCACATCTCGAACCATGTGGCGGCCAGTGAGCATGACCCGATCCTGAACTTCACTGTACTGCAGATTTACCACCTGATAAAGACACACAGAGAAAGAGAAAACAGAAAGGATTAGTTTGCCCAGAACAGAGCTTGAGGACAGCGGGCATGACTATCGATATTTTAAAAGAAATGTCCAAGTAAAGAGCATGAGGCACTGCGTAAAAACTGAGAACTGAGGTATAACAATCTGCAGGCCTCCAAGATCTCCTGCTTGGGAAGGCAACACTCTCAAGATGGTCTTTACAGGGATGCAGAGCCCTCACTGTCTAGTAAGGGACGTGAGATACTACCACAAAAGTTGTGAGAGTACTGCACTCAACATTGGGTCAGAAATTACTTGTGAAATAACTTATAAATTTCTCAATGTTGCATCACTTTCAGTTTATCTCATCCATTACTAGCAAGTGATGTGACTGCTTATTTCTAGATACCAGAATTAAAAAAGGGAACTGCTGGAAATTCTTGTAGCACTTTTGAAATTATCATCTACTAAAAGGGAGGAATGAGTGGCTGAGAATGTAGGCACTACACATGCACATTTATCTGTTTGCTATCTTGGCAATTTAAAATATACTTAACTTGGTTAGCAGCAAACTCACAGAGCTGAGATGTGTAACTGGCTGAGAAGTGGATGTTCAAACTAGATGCAACCTGTCAAACACATTAGGTTTCTGAAGGATGGAATTATACTGCTTTAAGTTACTGCTTTAAGTTTTGCATCTGACTGCACCTGCTCTCTCCACCTCAGATTAGGCTCTTGTGCAGATATATGCACCAGAGTATCAAACTTCTGTAATTAAAACTTACTAACACAAAAAAAAATTGAACTTCAGTTTGGAATGTTTATTGAATAAGAGGTCTGATTTATGCCTCTCTTTTTATAGCTATGCAGCCTGTCACTTACACGTACATACTACCAACAAGCTTCAGCAAAGTCCAAAGCAAAGCATGGTTAACTGATGATATTACTGATGTCTACATCAGCTAACAAAATAGACTTTCAAGAAAAAAAAAAAAAGGAAGAAAACACATCACTGATGGCACGGTTAGAAGCCTTGGGAGAAAGCAGAGATCACTGTCTTTCAGTGAGTCTAACCAACAAGTTTACATTGAAGGTTTATTAAAACAATGCCACAATTCACTAAGAGTCACAACTTCCAAATTTTCATTAATCAGTTGAATTCAGTCAAGTCTGATCAATAAAGAATATGAAATTATGTGTTCATATAAAAATATGAATCCAGGCATTATTGCCTGTAAAAGAGACTATGCTCACCTATACTGGCTTAAATGCCTTTAACATAATCACGTTTTAGAAATGCAACAAAATATAACCTAGATCTTTTATTCATGAAAGAAGCATAAACGCTTTGAAATTCTTAGATAAATGACAGCTATTCTTACAGTGAGTTTGAGGTTCCTCTATCAGGACTCAAGTCTCCAAAAGTTAAAAACGCCTGCGTTTGGCACAATGCCTCCAAACTTCCATTCCCCTTTGTAGTCTTTTAGTATCACAGGTAAGCTTGGATTGCTCACCATTCACAGTCAATGTCCAACTTGACTATAAAGACAGTGTAATAGAAAAAACACCTGCAACTTTAAAAYAATCGTAATTGCCCTACATTTTAAGCCAAAAGGCATCTGATGACTCATACCCCACAAACTTATTTTTCAAAACCAAACAGTGGATCCCTTTCAGCTGCTGATTCCTTACTAACCTTGTTAAAAAGGAAGGCTCTTCCTGTGGCCCCTGTAAAACGAGTAGAGATGAGCTCGGATCGATTGGTCAGAATCGTGTCGCAGTTTGCACAGGAGAACAGGCGAGTGCCACCAATGTGATCCAGGAAAATTCTGCCCATTTTCACAACTTTTCTAAGTAGGTACTCAAGACCTGGAAGCAAAAAAAAAAAAAAAATATAGATATCACATACATGTAAAAGGAAAGCACTCCAGGAAAAAAAAAAATCTTCACAGAATATTCTGCAAAGTAGTTCAGTTAATGATTGCAGAGACACTTTCATATATGAGTTACTGAACTTATAGCCTGCATTCATCCTTTATGTCATCAAGGTTAACAAACACAGAATTTGAACAAAACAAGATTTTTTTYCCTAAACCTGTCCTATTTTTGCCAGTAAGATGATACAACTAGATCTAAACTAATTACATTAAACAAGGGAAATATGAATTCAAAACCATAAAACATATTTCAGACACTCAGAGTCCTGTCTCCTATGGCACCCTATGGATCTTATTCTTGAAAGCCTCTATTTTCTTTTCCTCCAACAATGAAATTCCACCCCAGCATATTCTCCAAAGACTCACCCATCTCAGCACTGGGAAATGAAGCACTGAGTCAGCAAGGCAATCACTAAATTTTCCCAAGTCWTCCTCTCTTCCCCTTTTTAATATATATTTATCTTGTCACTTCCCCTCAGCATGGCTCTGTTTATCACATGCAACCACACGGCAGCCCATCCAAGATTTAGCCTCTAGCACAGCACACTGGGCAGACATATTTAATTGCTTAACTGCTGATTAAGAACTGGACCTCACTGGTTTCATATACATATCAACACAGATAAGGTCTGGATGCTATTTCACGTGAGAAACAGCCCACCAGAATCTTTGCTATCAGACAGCTTTACCTACAAACATCTGAAGCTGTCTACTCTACATGGAAAATATTGGTGTTATTTGCTCAAGCAATTTCCAAAGCCACATTATTACCATATCTCAACAATCCTTCTGACCAGAAAAAGACATTTTGGTTAGTTTATAGCACCAGAACTGAAGCATTTGACAAATAAGTCTCTCTGCTGGTCAGGAAAATTACAGCACCTCAGCAGCTTTAAGCCAACTAACATAAATTACTAACGTTAGCTACTGAGCAGGAACAGAACATTTCAGCCGAAAATTCAAACCACAACGGATGAAGTAACATGACAAAGGAATTAAATGATGATGCCATTTCCATTTTAACCTCAGAAAAGTCCTATGACTAAACATCCGTAGCTCAACAAGTCAAATATACCCCCAGTTATGTTTCAAATGTGGAAGCAGAAGCAGGGAAGAATGTGGGTTTTTTTTTCCTCCATGCACAGTAATGTAAAGTAAATCTGACACAGTGCAATACGAAAGCTTTGGGAGTTTACTTTTGAAAGGAGACAGAGTGCTGTTCCTACAGAAATTCATCAAGTCCTGTACTCATCAAGTTGAGCATCCTATGCCAAGTGCCTTGAGAAAGGCAGATATTTAACTACACACATTTCAAGCCCTAAAGGATCCACTTCTTTACTCTGACAAGCACAAAGCAAAGCATAAAGGCATGCACTCACAAGCATCATCTTTAAAATAGCATACTTATATTTGAAAAAAAAAAATAAACTACTAACATAAATAATATCCAGAATGATATTCCATCATTTTGTTTTCTTACAAAAATGATATTCCATCATTTTGTTTTCTTTCTTCTTCATTTGGAAATGAAAAGCACTCCTAACAGTGACTAGCACAATTTTAACACAGGTTGCTTGCATTCAGATTTTTTCCAATCTTTTTATTAAGTCACCTGTTTGAAGGACACACAAACCCACTGTTCTTTTTGAAATAGACATACGAAAGTCTCGAGTTTGATAAGCTATTTCCAACATCTTCCTGTGCATGGGGTACAATATTTCCTTGTGACTCAACTCAGAACAGAGGAAGTATTCTTCTGGCTTTATCTTTCCAAAGTAGCAAGCGTGGGAAAAAATAAAATAAAATAAAATAAAATAAAATAAAATAAAATAAAATAAAATAAAATAAAATAAAATAAAATAAAATAAAATAAAATAAAATAAAATNAATAAAATAAAATAAAATAAAATAAAATAAAATAAAATAAAATAAAATAAAATAAAATAAAATAAAATAAAATAAAATAAAATAAAATAAAATAAGCAATGAAGAAAAATCAACTGACATTAAGTGTGAATACTGAATATCAGTAAAAATCTGCAGCCAGAAGACAACCACATATGCAAGCAATAAAAGCAAATGTGTGGACAGGTATGCCCATAAGGCACTTGGCATAACGTCATGTGCCATTCTTACTAGGTTGGGATAATGTTGTTGTTTATGTTGATTGTATTGTGGATTAAAAATAAAATAAAATAATTGTAAAATATTTTAAATGTGGAATCAACAGATGAAGGGATATTTCTTTTAAGGTCAACCCAATGGTAGCCCTGTCAGTATTTTTAGAAGCTAACTTAAAGCAAGTACAAAAATATTCCTACCTTTTTACAAAGAGTAAATCATAAACACTAGGCCTGGTAAATAATGAAAACAGATCTAACAAAAAGAATGTTCTAGCAAAGTATTCAAATTTCAGACGTACGTCTGAAAACATTTACATTTAAAGACATCAAATATCTAAAAATATAATTCATGTTACTGCACCATGAAACCCAAGGACACCTAGAAACAAACAAAAATACAAAGAGTGAAAAGTAATCTAATCAAGTATCTAAACATGAAAAAAATCCAGTAAGATTTAGGTTCTAACAGAAAAGCAGAAGGAGATTCACTTGACGGTAACATAAACCTGGGAGAGTCGAGACTAAAGTTATGGCAGAATCTAACTGGCACTGAAAGCTTTCTGCATGAGGGGAAAAGAAATAAAAAAGGCAAAACATTTAAAAGTTTAGAAAAGTTCTACAAATTGCACTAGCAAACTGTCATTTGCAATAGTAAAGAGTCAAAGTAGTTTTTAGACGTCTCTTAAAATATGAAGTTTAATTTATTCCCACTAGCACTTCTAACATTTAAAATAACCTCTCTGCTTATCTTCCCAATCACAGATTTTAGCTGAAACAGATAATGACCTAGAATTGCTGTCATAAGCTCCAAGTTCTGACTGTTGCAGGGACACAGTATTTCAGCAAAGGATTCTCTAAGAATCACAACCTTTACATTAATCTTCATATTGCTGTTCATAAATGTAAAAAGCAGATAAAGTTACAGAGTAAGAAAAACTGACAGAATGAACGTCAATAAGGCAACCTCAAAACTATGCATGTGATTGTGACTTTTGCTGATGAGCAAAGAAGGAATTTAGCTTTTTCTCATGCAATCAAGAAAACAAGAAAAGTGAACCTGGATGTGGGCCTCCTCTTCCTCCCCCATTCTCTTCCCCCCCACCTCCTCTTTTATTTATTTATTTTTTAAGTCAAAAACAGAGAATTCATTTGTGAGACCTGTTCATAAGGCACTTGGCTGTGGACAAAAACTATTGTCCTTATATGTGGCAATCCCAATTCCCTTACAGTTTGCTTAGTGAACACTGAAACAGCACAGCGGAAGCAGAGCAGAACGAGAGAAGGTCACTTTCCATTGCTCCCAAGATCATATCCCTCATATGCTGAATTAGTGTGGAAAAAGTTACCCTAGAAAACCGTGTAATTTCTTTCCTCCTGTTTCCATTTCCCATATGAAACACGTGGGTGTCTATTTATGTTCACACATATATAAATGATCTGAAAAAGTCATTTATAGGCAGCTCCTAAAGGCAGCGAGAAGGCGCTCTCAGATGAAGAAAAAAGAAAGAGAGAAAGAGAGATTTGTGGGAGGGGAAAAAAAAAAGCATTTTTAACATTTAAGATCTTCTAATTAGGGGGAGGAAAATGCAAGAAGCACATGCACCAAGTCCAGCTCTTCTTTATACCTAAAAGCAGTACAAYTGGCTGAGATCTTCTGCACAGGCTGAGAGCACCACTCAAATTCCCTATTGCTGTTCACAGCCCCAGAGAAGAGCACTGCTGCATCCCACCCATCGCCTCGCACTGCCAGGAGGGCTTCCCAAAGCAGCAACCTCACAAAACCAAAGCGAGTAAGGAACAGCATTTTCTGGCCCAAGAATTTTCTGGCCCAAGATTTCTTCTTCAAAGTCAACGAAATATTCTTTGCTGGACACCTGGCAGTGATGAAGTTATCCTGCTCTCGTGCAGATTCCTAAGCACAGGCCTGAATATTAAATTAATGGATCCCTTATAAAAAGGCAGACTTATTTACCTTTACTAAAGGGATATAAAGCATCTACCACTTCCCATATCCACACAGTTGGAGGAAACAGACGTGCAGATGTCACACAAGCAGATGTCACTGTGTCCTTGGCCGGCATCCTAACAGCACCATCAACTTCCCTCCTTGACACTAGTAAGTTCAGAGGATCAAGGATAGCTCCTATCACCTGATTCCTAAGGCTTGCTCACAGCACCTTATTTTCACGTTACATCTTGATGTCCCTGCTCAGTCCCTGGCACACATCCCCTGCCCACACATTTCTCCCACGAGCTCACACAGGAAAACACAATCCCAAGGGCCGTGTGCCCATAACACCCGTTACCAGCACAGTGCTCCTAAACTGCTACCCATCTTTCAGTGCTTGTTTTTACTACAYTGAGCAACAGCTCACAAACTGCTGACATCTAGCAACTTAATTTCACCACTATCTGCATGGAGAACTCAAGCACCCAATGCACTTGTTTGGTTTGCATTTGTACTACCTGATCTGCTTACCTTCCAAAGCAAAAAACAACAACAAAACAGGCAACTATGGAAATATATATGTATTTATTAATGTATTTTAAACTAACAGTCATTGATTTCCTGTCTCAGAAGAATATCCTGAAGACAGAGAACCGGGAAAGCTGGTTCCACATCGGAGCGTGGATATCTCGGGAGCCTYGGTGTTGCTTCAGCACCATCTACTGCATCACAAATCCACAACAGAAAACAGCTGCTGGTGAAGACATACAAAGCAATGTGAGACACTGTTTCTCCATCTCTCTAACTAGCAGCATTTACCTTTGCAGGGTGAGCCAGCAATCACTACACACTCCTTGAAAAACAGTGCCGCGCTCCCCTAGGTGGGACCAGGCTTCAGCTTCACCTCTGGAAGGAGGCTCGGGCTTCCCCTTCCCATCTCAGAGAGGGACCGAAGAGGGAAACGACGAGCGCAGCCACATAGGACTGCGCTTTGGTGAGTCAGAGCACGAGCCAAATACCCAGACTTGCTCCTTTCCTCGCTGGTGCCAAGGGGGTGCCCGCGCGCACCGGGCGCCACAGCAGCCCCTGCCCACGCACAGGAGCCAAAGGAGCAGCAAACTGCTGCCGAACACCACRCGCTCACCACGGCCACCCAGCTGCCATACGGAACTGTACAAGGAATTAAGCACAGGAAAAGGACTGCAGAGTCCTCGGCAGGGTGGCAGTGACCACTATGCCTGGCTGCAGTGCCCCATGCCCGCCCAGGGCACGATGCCCCACCTGACAGGGCTGCATCTCCACGTTACAATAGYGCAATTTGCCAGTGCAAAATGGCTTTTTCTCACGTACAGAGAGAGACTGGCAGGGGGATAATGGCATTTAAATATGATAACATATACTGTATAGTATTTCCATAGACCAATATTAATAATTTGTTTCTAAAGTTTCCAGAGTAACCCAGACAGGTRCTCCTTTTAATTAAAACAGCCCCATTTCTGAGCTTCTCACACACTCCAGCTACATTAGATACAGATGTATCTCTTCACAAATAGTCCCAGACTCAGATTAAGTCCCTTTCTCAACACTATGCAAGAGTTCAAAGCAAGAGTTCTTATTTCTCTCTCCTTGATTCCAGGTCACCTTTTACATCCTTAATCCCTCAACTATTTCTAAGGAACATGTATTTCCTGCTTTTACAGTAAAGTTATTCTCATACTAATCAAGCCAATAAGACAACTTTAGTCTATTAATGCAGTCAGCAACTTTCACAAAGTTGAACTAAATCAGATTTTCTATTTTCCTTAATTTTAGTGTCCAAARTATAGAACTCTTCATTTGAAGACACTAAAGAATAGTGTAAAACAAATAAAAAACAAACAAACAAAAAAACCCCAGTAAGTCAGGTTTAAAATAAAAGGGCAAAATGCCAATGACCATCCATATTTCTATACAAACAAACTATACTTGCTGGCAAGAAATGCCCCTAATGCACCTAATGTGTCTAGGCAGGAAATTCTTACGCCAAATGAAAAACTCCCAAATGCTCCAAAATTAAACAGCTCTTGCTCCCAGGCATCACAAGGTACCGGTAATTCATCTGTATTAAAAAGAAAAAAAAAAAAAAGAAAAAAAAAAAGAGATTTTAAGGTAAACCTTGCTTAAGGGAGTCAGGCATTTTGGCAGAGCATCTCCAGGTTTCGACACAGGTCCTGGCAAGTAAACAACCATTAGCTGATGATCTAACTCCAGTAACATTACTTTAAACTTGCGATGACTACCAGCAGAGGGAACACTTAAAAAACACCACCCAAGCCCAGCTCTCAGCTGGTCTGTCAGCTGACAAGCAGCAAACCTCATCCGCCTGTTGTCACCTTTGCCGGGCACCTTTGTAGGTGCAATCCCGCAGTTTCTTTTATCCTAACACACTTGGCAGCCATTCCCGAAATCTACTCCTCACTATTATCGACATTTTAAAGTTATGTATAAACAATTCAATTTGTATTCTGAAAGCTAAATACTTTGAACACCTGGGAAGTGTAAGTAACAAATGAAAAGCTGCCAAATACTATTTTAAACACTAGTATAAGAGAGAAAATAAGGCTTAAAACTGACAAAGCAACCCTTGAATTCAGCTATACAGAACGAGCTCAGACGCATCAGGTTTCTAACGACTATGGTTATAAGACACTGAAGCAGCATGAGGGAGTCCTTAGAAGCACAAAGCAAATTCCTTCTCTTTATAACTATTATTAAAGATACTCCCTCATGGGAGTATCCATGGTTTTTGTATTGACATTAGTTATCAACAACAAAAGTTGCTCTGCAACATCTACCACTCTGAGCCAAGTCATGCCCGGTTTCTCTCTCACGAGATTTGCATACTTAATTTCTTGACCCTAACCATAACATTGTTTATCGTTTAAAGAAGACGAAATATTTACTAAGTTCCATCACTATATTATTCCAGAATAAAGTGTTTTTCTTAACTAAGCATAAATAAGCCTATAGGAATCMAAACTGTAACTACTTCCTCGTGCCAAGTGAGGTCTGTATACAGAGTAACACAGCAGAGCAGACTAGTCTTAGTGCTCCTTTTTGCTCTAAATAAAGCCTTTTTCAAAGTGAAAAGTGCTTGCTAGGTACAACAGCTTCCTGGGAATCTACATTTCCATGGGAAAACTCCCTCCCAAGAGGTGACAAAGCCGGGCAATCACTGAAAGAGCAGCAAGCATYTTTCATAAGCAAATAACCATTGCTGGGGTTGGAACACGGGCTTGCTGCGAGGGAGCCGCCGCCGGGGCAAGGCCGGGGGCAGCTTCCCGGGCAGGTTTCCCGAAGGAGCAAACGGGGGCACCCTCCAAGCGGCAGGAGAGCGGAGCGGGGCGGGCTCGGCCAGGCCGGCCCGAGAGCGGCTCCCGGCGCCGGGACCCCCGGGCGCGCAGGGGCCCCTCTCCAGCGCGCCGCGGGCTGCTCTTTCCCTAACCAAGCGGCGGGCTGCAGCCCCCGGGAGCCGAACACGGCACCGAACGGGACACCGCGGGGGGGTTCGACGGGGAGGAGGCAGGACGCGGCGCGCGGGTGCGGGTGTTGCTGCCGCTGTTGTTGCTCTTGTTGTTGCTGCGGGTTGTTGTTGCTGCTGCTGTTGCCGCCGAAGGGTC